TTCAGTCAAAATATATAACATCGTTCATGGGCCATACAAAATTACCAACTTAAAAATTAACCTGTTAAACATTAAAAGTTAAACAGTTAATGAACTCACCCCTAATGTGATGGTTGGAGTCCTGGCATGGCCCTGTGGGATAATGCACTGGACTGCAAGGTCAGTTGGAATCACAAAGTCAGTGGTTCAAACTCACAAGGCACTCCTTGGAATTTGTATACAGGGTCGCTATGAGTCAGTACTGGCTTGACAGCATTTCAACAACAACAATGTAATGGCTGGAACTGCATTTGCCATGGCAGGCAGGACCAGACCAAATGATTTTGAGGGCCTTATACCACCTGAGGTCAGCGGTTCGAAACTACCAGTCTCTCCATGGGAGAAAGATGAGGCTTTCTACTCCCGTAAGGATTTACACTCTTGGAAACCTTGTACAGGGTCGCTATGGGTCAGAACTGACTTGCCGGCACTTAACAACAACAACAACAGCATACCACCTGAGGGCTGGACATTCCTCACCCCTGCTCTTGGGTCTGAGGAGAAGGTCAAAGGCCCCTCCTTCCACATTGTCAAGTATGGGGACCTCTTTTTTAGCTGTACCTTCCCCCTTCATTGCAGTTAATATGAGGTGACTTCAAAAAGTTCATGGAAAAATTCCATTGTCTTTCAATTTCACTTTTTCTATTAACTTTTTGAAACCTCCTCAATTTTTCCTATCCCACCCATACTTATCCCCCCAAGTTCTGGCATTAAGGCAGTTTGAAAATAAGGGAGACTAAATGGAAACTTGCACTTGGGGCTGGTTCAGATGAGTAGTCTTCAATAGATAACCTCAGAATAATACTGATGGTGAAGGTTCCATTAATCAAGCACTTCTTGAGTCTTAAACTGTGTGCTAAGTACTTCTCAGACATGAATTTTAATCCTCATAACAACCAATTCCCTGAGGTAGGGTATTATTACCCCTATTTTACAGATGAGGAAGCAGTGTCAGAGATGGTAAGTGGTAGAACTGGAATTCGAACCCAAGCCCATGCTGTTAACTGACTGCTAAGTCATACTGCTTCCTCTCAGTTTTTCTCAAATTACATTCAGGGGGTTCGCACACAGCTCTAGTGTAACACCCCAGAGATTCCTCTTGTTCCAGGCTTCTTAGTTTGCTGGACTCATTAGAGGGATGAAGCCATGACTAGAATCAGAGGCAAATGCACCCAATGCCACCACCAAATCCTGCACCCTAATTTCCTGTATCCTGGACATGTTCCCTGCTGTCAGCCATGTGTGTCATTCCATGTCAACTGATGGTTCACACTGGGAAGTCAGAAAACATGTGCACACCCCCCTTGTTGGCACCCACATCTCCATGTTGGTACCATACCACCAGCCTGCCTGTGCTGGGGCACACACATGGGCCCTGAGAAAGGTGCAGAACTTGTGAATATTTCATGTCTGGAGCTGGCGGCTGCCTCTCCTGCTCACACGTGTGCCTGCTCCTTCCTCTCACAGGCTCCTTGTTTATTTGTTTAATGAATTATTTATCCATGCCCCCTTTCCTTCCTGGCCTCCCCCTCCCCCAGGCCCTAGCTTCCATGATTTATTGAATGTAGTTCAGCTCTGTGGTTGCCACCCACTGTCCTGGGAGCCACCATGGGCCACAGCCTGAGTGCTTGCTCCCTGGGCCCCAGACCTGCTCAGCTCCCTCTTCCCTTGGCCCCAGAGGGGAAGGACAGGAGGGCAGAGGCACCATGCCAGAGAACAAACACCCAGGGGCCTGAGCTCAGTGCCCCTGGAGTGAATATGGCAGCCACTGGGGTTCTGACACACATGGGGGTCAGAGAGAAGAGCAGGCAGAGCCTGCAGGTGAGGCAGGCAGAGGCCCGAGGCCAGAGAGAGAGAGAAAGAGGACCAGTCTCATGGAGGAACCTAACTCTGGAGAGATTAGAGCCCAAACTTTAGACACCAGTGTTTCAAACTCAAGGGTGTAATCAGTTACCAGTCAAATCAATTCAGACTCATGACAACCCCATGTGTGTCAGAGTAGAACTATGTTCCATAGAGTTTTCAGTGGCAGGTTTTTCAGAGTAAACCACCAGGCTTTTGTTCTGAGGCATCTCTAGGAGAAGAATGAAATTAAGAAATCAATTTTATGGGTCTCAAAGAGATTTATGTATTTATTTTTATTTTAAGAGAAGAAAAAAAGTCAGAATGAATCTTGTAAGGGTAACTATTTTATGAAGCTTTTGTTTCAGTTATATGTGTGAATGTATGTTTATGTGCATGTTTCTACTGGATTGCAATGCAAAATATACATTTTGCCGTGGGTAATAATCAGGAACAGTTTGAATGACAATTACAAACAAAGGCCTAGACTCCAGTGATGGAGGTTTGGGTCCTTCCATGACTCACACGCCACAGAGAGAGGCTTAAGTCTTCAGATCAGGGCTCAGATCTTAACCATAGAGACCCAGTCCCTAGAGAGGCCCAGACCCCATGAATAGAGGCCTATAAACAGGCCTAGGCATTATGGCTTGAAGCACAGATCCCAGAGAGACAGAACTGCCACATGGAGTTATGCAGTTTGTGTATGGTACCAAGGATTCACCCAAGGGGCCAATAGATGCTGACATCAGCCCAACTGCCTCACCAAGGTGGGGAGACACATAGAGCCACCTCCACCTAAAGGAAACAGCACCTTTGTTTTTACACAAAGTTATCACTTGCCAAGAGATGTACCCTGGGGGTTGGGTCAGCATGAAGGGGTGCTTTTTCTAATTCACACAAAGGCGCAAATCAACTAGCAGTCCTGCAGACAAAGAAGACTAAGTTGAGAGAGCACCAGATCCCATGGACCGAAGCCTAGGCCCTATGGAGAGTGTCTCAGAACTTCAAAACCAGAGGCTCATATTCCACAAAGAGAGCTGCTTTAACCCTGTAGAGAAGGCTCCAGATTCTAGTCTGGAGATAAGGGATCAATTATTGTTGGAGGATAAAAGTACTCAACACTAAAGAGAAATATCTGGGTCCTTTAGACAAGGACCCAAATTCTTAAATGGGACCCAGATTCTACAAATAGGGACTTAAAGGCTTCTAAAATGAAACACAAAGTTCTAAACTCAAGAGGAAGTTCCCACTCACTATGGGTATGGGGAACCTCTCTTCCAACTTTTGACCCTCCAGAGAGGACCCTATCCTCTAGAGGGGTTTCAATTTGTGGTACCTGGAGTAGGCAGGTAAGCATCTTTGAGTAAAGCAAATCTCCCTAGGACTGAGGAGTCTGGGGAGAGGGAGAACTGTTTGCAAAGTCCCCCACTTCCACCCCTAGGGGCCTAATTTATTTTCTGACTCTTGAGAAGGGAGAGGGGATCTCTCAGGGGCAGAAGGGAGTCCAGGGAGGCCAAAGCCTGCACTTGCTTAGCAGCAGCTAGGCATAGAACCTATTGTGGATGGCACTGTCCTTCCCCCAAACCAAGTCACTTGTGGTCAGGACCCCAATCTTGCCAGGAATAAGCAGATGAAGGGTGCCTATTTGTCCTTTTTCCTGAAGTTAAGAAGCAAAATAGCATCACACACATTTTCTGAGACACAGGTAGTTAGTTGGCTTGGGTTCTGAGAACCCAATCTGAGGCCTGATTCTGCTGGTCACTCTTAGATCTAGTCAGTTCTGACTCATAGTGACTCTGTATAGGGTTTCTGAGGAGCAGCTTGTGGCGTTTGAACCGTCGAACCATGTGGTTTGCAGTTTAGTGCTGATCCCACAGAGCCACACCAGGAGTCCACTCTTAAATTGGGCTTCTTTAATTAAAAGGGAGATACGAATCGGGCTGTGAACCTTAAGGTCAGCGGATCGAAACTACCAGCCGCTCCGCGGGAGAAAGATGAGGCTTTCTACTCCCGTAAAGATTTACACCCTCGGAAATCCTGTACAGGGTCGCTATGGGTCGGAACCGACTCGACGGCACTTAACAACAACAACAACAACAACACCCTAGGTCTAGGCTCTGGGTCCTTTCCCTCAATTTCTACTTTCTAGAAAAGGGAGACAGAAAGAAAAAGAAGGGAGGAAGTATGTACGTGTGTCAATGAAGGGAGGAAGTATGTACGTGTGTCAATGAGTGCTGGTGGGTATTTTGTATGTGAGAACCATTGTGTACATGTGTGTCTGGGTATGTGCACCTATATCTGTGTGTCTAAGTGTCTGTTTGTAACTTTACCTGTATGTATTCTCTGTGTGTCTGTGTTTTTTGCCTCTGGGTGTCTGTGCTTGGTTTCACTGAGAAGACAATGACTGGGGAGAGCTGCCCTCAGTGTCAGCGTCTACAAGACTGGGGGTGAGAATGACTGGGGGCACCATTCGCTGGTCTGGGAGGGGCCAAGCTTGAGAGTGAGTGGAGAGCCTTTATTCTAGCTAACTCTATCCTTAGCCTCCTTCTCCACCTGTGTCCTTCCATGCTTGGAAACAGAGCTCCTCCACCCCACCTATACCAAAATCAAGTCTCATGCCCAGCTAGGGACTCCAGGTCATCAGCTGTTAGCTCCTTGGTGTCAACTGTGGGTTTCTTTGCCAACCTCCTGTGCACACCTGCCTCCTCATAGGAAGAGAGGACATGGAGGGCCAGATTGCTCAGAAAGGTGGGGCGTTTTGTTAATAGATGTTGGACCCCCAACTTCTTCTCAAGTCTCCTTCACCTCATATCAGAGATGAATTTGTTGACATGTAACCTCTATCATGGGCTCCCTAATCATTCTTCTGGGAACTACAGACTGGAAGAAGGCTCAGGTAGCAAATTGAACCAAGGAGGGAGCAGGAGCGCGCCGGTTCGTTCCCTAAGGAGCAACACCGTCCCCTTCTCCCACGCGCCGCGCGCTCCGGCTCCGGGCGAGGCGGGGTCTGACGGGAGCGCGCCAGAGGCGGGGCCTCGGGGGCGCGCCCGGGCGGGCGGAGGGGCGGACTGGGGGCGTGGCCTAGGGTTGGGGGCTGGCGGCGGCGGCAGCAGGGAGCTGGGGAGCGGAGAAGCCCGGAGCTCGGGGCTCAGTCGGGGGGCGGCGGCGGCGGCGGCTCCGGGGATGGCGGCGGCTCCGCTGCTGCTGCTGCTGCTGCTCGTGCCCGTGCCGCTGCTGCCGCTGCTGGCCCAGGGACCCGGGGGGGCTCTGGGAAACCGGCATGCGGTGTACTGGAACAGCTCCAACCAGCAGTGAGTCGGGGGCCAGGGAGCCCGAGCGTCCCGTGTCTCTGAGAGGGAGAGCCGGTGGGCCCGGGAATTCCTGGGGGAACCCGGGGTTGGAGGCCTGGGAGACCACATCTGGGGACTGGGAGGCGAGGAAAGGAGGAACGCTCTCTGTGGGTGTCTATGAAACTCGAGGGGTGTCTTGAGAGAGGCTGTTGGTGTATATAGTAAGGAGGGTTATGCCGTGCGGGGTATACTGCTCGGGGATACCCCACCCCATCGCGGCTTCTCCTCACTCCCGCCTCACTCATACCGGTCTTGCAGCCCTTCCCCATCTTCAGCCCTTTCAGTCGGGGAGTTTGGGGGTGCCAGTGTACTAAGGATAGACCGCCGCAGTTGGGGGGCCCAGGGCTGACCTGTTTTTGGCCTAGAGGGTGTCAAGGGGTTTGTCTAGTGTTCCCGCTCTTAAAAGTAGGGTCCAAAGCTTGAGACAGGGAGTACGACCGAGCACCTCCCCAAGAACGAAGGCTAATGGGTGGCCCTGGTTGTGTGGATGCGCCAGGTTGGGGTGAGCCTGGGCTGGGTGACCGAGTTTGGGGTCCCTGGGAGTGTCGCTTGGATAGGATGGAAACGTGGGATACCGGTAAAAAGGAAGGAGGCAGGGAGTTGTCGGCGTGTCAAACACGCACACACACGCCCGGGATGAGGACGGCGTGTGGCTCTAAGTGTGAGCAGGCGTGCGCGGCTGTCAGTGTGCGTGTGTGTCTGAGTGTGTGATTTGTGTGTCTGCGTCGGCGATCGTCTGGGGGTGGGAGCGGACGGCAGGTCGGGGAGGGGGCTGCGGTCGGTGTCCGCGTGGCCAGCGGCGTCTGGGTTGGGTGGCTGTCGGCGCCGCCGCGGTCTGGGCGGGTGTCAGGGCGGCCGTGTGGTTTCCCGGGGTGTGTGGCGCGGTGGCCGGGTGCAGGCTGCGGGGCCGGGTTCTCATTCTGCTCAATCCTCGCTGCCCTTGTCTTCTCCTCCCTGCCGAGCTGCCGTGTGTATCACACCGGCCGCCTCCGTGTGTGTCTGTGTGTTGTGGGGGAGGTTCCCTGGGGACACGGGGGTCACTGTCACACCTGCCCGGGTGGCGGCGGCGGCACTGCCTCTGGCTCCTTACCCTGGGGGACGGCTCAGTAGCAAATGGCGAAGCCCCAGGGGAGGGGGCCAAGAGGGCCGGGCGGCCGCGACCCCCAACCTCCCGAGGGAGGGGCTGCCGCTCGTTGCCTCGCTCTTTGTTGTTTGGGGCCCCGCGCCTCCCCCTCTCTCCTTCCTCGCGCCCGGAGTGTCAGACTGGGGGTGGGGATGAGCCAACGACGCCCCCTTTCCCTTCCCATGGAAACCCCGGGGGTGGGGATTCGGTTCCTCCCCCTGGGGAGCGGGACTCGGAGCACTCCGGGGGGCGCTGGGGGCTGATTCCCCAGTTCTCTGTGGCTGGTACCTCTCCCCCAGACTCACACATCCGCCCCCCGCCCCGCTAGAATCTGGCGGGGAGTCAAGAGCTCCAAGGTGAGGGATTCAAGATTCCCCGCCACCCTTGGAGCATCCCCAACGTTCTTGGGGGAAGCCGGAGCCTGGGAGATGCGGGAACGGTCTTGGGGGGAGTTGATCCGGGTCCCCTCCCCCGCATACACCTGGATGCAGGTGAAAGCCCGGGAGGGGGTGCGGGAGCCCGGGTGCTGGGAGTCTCCACTGTGCCCTCCCCATTCCCCCGCCGGCTTGGACCGGGGGAGGTAAGAGGGGGCGCGCGCCAGGTTGTGAGGCCGCCGCCACCCCCGCCTCGCTTCCCCGGCCTTTGTTGCCGCTGCGCCCGGGCTCCCCGGCTCCCTCACTGCGGCAGCCGCGGCCCCATAAATCGTGAGAGCGACGTGCTCCGGAGCCGGGAGTGGAGAGGGCCGGGGAGCTGGGGGCGGGGCCGGGCCCAGCTACAGGCTCCCGCACCCCTCCCCCCGGTCACGTGAGCAGGGTTCCTGGCTCCCACCCCCTGTCACGTGCGGAGGGTCTCTGCCCCTTGGGGTCACGTGGGTAGGGTCTTGCGACCCCGCCTCCTGGGGTCACGTGGGAAGGTGCCGGTGGGACACGTGCAGTGGCCTCCTTTGACAGACCTGGGGACAGTACCCTGAACATCGACGGCAACCTCGCCCCCTATCCCCAACTCATCCCCTCCATTTGGTCCCCTGGAATAGGCGAGACCAGTTTCTCAGACCGAGCTACTAGGGATGAGGGGATTAAACGTGAGGGGGGTGAGTGGGAAGGGCGTGAGAGTCTTTGGTCAAGAGGTCCCAGTGTCTGGAATTGAAGTTGGGGTAGCTGGCAGACAGCCAAACGTATACCCCATCGTCTGTGCTTCATTTCCATGCAGAAGTGAGTGAAGGTGCTGATATTAGTCCCTGTCTCAAGAAGCCACAAGAACATCTAACCGTCTCCATTTCTGTCTCTTTATCTCTGAAATATTTGTTGCTGATCTTTTTCATTCATACATCCATTCAACCAACATTTATTGAGGCTCTACTTTGTCTCTATTGGTCTCTCCTCGCTTCTGTTTTCTTCCTGTCACCAAGTCTCTGCCGTGTATCCCCTTCTCTGTCCCTGATTTTCTCCTTTTGCGTCTCCCTGTCGCTGTCTCCAGTCTGTGGGTCTCTACTGGATTTGTCTCTCCTTGTCTCAGTTCTCATTTCCCTTGCATCTTTCTCGGGGGTTTCTGGATCCCCGACCCCTCGCTGTGACCCACTCCCTTTCTGCTCTCTGTGAATCTAGTCTCTGTGAGTCTCGGCCTGTCTTTCCCTCTTCGTCTCTGTGTGTCTCGCTTTCGGTGGGTCTCTCGCTTCTCTCCGCCGCTGCAGATCAATAAACCTTCGCCGCCGCCGCTGTCGCAAGGAGGGGCGGGGTAGTCGGGCGCGCTGATTCTCCCCCTCGCGATATGGGTCGGGGAAGTCCCGGGTCTAGACCCAGGATGGGGAGACCTGGCCCGAAGGGACGCCGCAGCCGAGGGTGGCCGAGGGGTGCGGGGGTGTCAGCGTGCACGCGCTTCTCGGGAGCGCTCCCCGCATCCCCCTCAGCCTCAGCGCGGACTCCACGCCGCGCACACGTGGTCCGGCCTTGCCTGGTGGAGCGGGCTGCCGCGCAGCCTCGGGGGCACGCGCTGGAGGGGTGGAGAACTGGGGTCCGGTTTCTTTACAACACTTTTCCAGCGCCCTTTGCTCTGCATCTAAGTGTCTAGGGTCAAGGACAGGGATTTAACAAGTCAGGGCCCCTAGGGTCCTTTCTGCACTCCCATGTCTTGTTAGACACCTTGTTTACCTGCCCCTAATTGCCCCGAGGGGAGAGTTTACTCCTCCCTGCTCACCCCCCCCCACCCCCACCCCGCGCTCCCGGGCTGAGTGGGACCTGGAGCTTGCTCAAGTGAAGGGGAGGGGTCGGGATGCGCCCCGGGGGCGGTGCGTGCTGGGAGAAACCGAAATAACGGAGTGAGGGGGCAACTCCACCAGGTGGGGTATGTCGACACTCGCCTTTTCGCGAGAGAGGTGGGAGGCTAGTAAGGAGATGAAGTAGAGAAGAATAGAGAATTGTTTCAAGGGGCAGGGCACATCCCAGTCCCTAGATCCCAAACCCCTCCCGGGGGTGCGGCTCTGGAGGCGGAGTGAGCTTCGGAGCTGGGAAGCGGCCTAGGGGTACCTCCCTCTTCACTGCCCTGGCAAGGGTGTATGACAGATTCAATTAAAGCGCCCAAGCCAAGCAGACAACCCGGTCTCCCAGAAGTTGCGGCACCAGCCCCTCTGCCACTTGTTGGCCAGATACTGACTGGGCATAGCCTTTCTATGAGCCACACACCCAGCTTTTAGGGGTGGAGCCTTTCAGGGGCTGTTACTGCCATCCAATAACTGGGATAGTTATTGGTGACTTCTCTTCACTTGTGGTCATCATCCCTTAACCTTTCTATGAGGTTAGTTCCCACCCCATTAAGGAAACTGAGGTATCATCTGTAGGAATATCTCTGGAGTAGCCTGCTCCCTGCTGGAATGGGGTGTGCTTTGGGAGAAAGTGGGTGGTGAAGCAAGGAGGGGCTACTGTGGAGTGGGACTAGAAACCTGCGTGAGGCTCAGGGACAGAGGCCCCAGTGTGACTGACACCCTACTACTTGGTGGGCCCCCTCCTCAAAGCCTGAGGAGACTGGGGGTCGGATGGAGAAGCAAGCCTGGGGTGGTGGTTGGAAGCCAGGCCTGGTCTAACCTGTTTTCCTTCTCCCAGTGCCCCAGGCTGAGACTCCTGCCCACCCGAGTGCCAGGGCCAGGGAGGAGCCTGAGTGACCCATCACTCCCATGGGAACTGAGTGGGGCTGGTGGCATTCCTGATGACTCAATAAGGTTGTGCCCATTCTTAATGGAGTGCCCAAACCCCAGCTCTCACCTGCCTGCCTCACTACTGAGCCTGGAAAGAGGTGTTTGGGGAGGGGGCAGGAGGCAAGGTTAGAGAAGTAGGGTAAGGTGGAGAGGGATTTTTAAGGCCCCACCCCAAGCAGAGGCCTCCAAGCTCTTTTCCCTCATGGATCTAATTACTGTTTGTGGAGCTGGGAGGTGCCTGGCGACATGGCAAGCCAGTCCCTCCCCTCAGGTAGTTCCCAGAGACTAGGGACCCCAGTTATTTGACATTTTGCCAAGTACCCCCAAACCTTCTTGTGTCCACCATACTACCCATCTGCCATTGCCAAGATGTGTTTATTCCTACCCTAGAGAAATTAGGGAAAATGCCTTCTCTTTTCAGAGATTTTCTCTTGTACCTACACCAATCAGTACCCACCATAGATGGGATAAGACCAATACTTTATTGGTGACTAGTGAGGCAGATGAAGGAGCCCTGGTATCATAATGGATTATGAGTTGTACTGCTAACCAAAAGGTCAGCAGTTCAAATTTACCAGCCTCTCCACAGGAGAAAGATGAGGCTTTCTGCTCTCATAAAGATTTATAGCCTTGGAAACCCTATACAGTGTCTTGATGAGCATCTGCCTAGCATTTATAGAGGCAGCAAGTGAGTGGTGGCCAGGTTGAAAAGGGAAGTGTATAATGAAGTAGAAGTTTGGGCCAGTTGGCATGATGCCCATGGAGATTTAGTGCCGAGCTCTGTAATTCCTTGATCTGTTGTATCATTTTATTGGGATCTTGGTGTGGTACTGTAGGGTAAGCACTGGATTGCAAGATCAATTTAAACTGCAAAGTTGGCAATTCAAATCCACCAGCCACTCAGAAACACTATACAGGGTCGCTATGATTCACAACAGATTCTATGGCACTTAACACTTGTCCATGGTAGAGGGTCAGTGAAAAAGAGGAAGACCCTCAAGGAGATGGATTGACACACAACTGCAACGATGAGCTCAAACACAGCAACGATTATGAGGATGGAACAGTGTTTTAGGTCACTAGGAGTTAGAACTGACTTGATAGGATATTTATCCATAGCCTCAGTGTCGAGGTCAGTGGATGCTTATTATACTAAAGGTATAGAGGCCAGTGATACTGTAAGAGAACTTGTACCAGTATGTGTGTGTCTTGGAGTGATATCCTGGAATAAGACTTGGGGACTGGGGGCCTCAGAGTTTCAGGGCAGACAGGGCTGTGTGGCTGAGAGAGGCATTTTTGGAATAGTCCAATCAAATTTGGGCGGTAGAGTCATGGTAGAGGGACAGAAGAGAATACTAGGACAGATGGCCAAGCCATAGTGATCAATGTCCAAAGGGAAGGAGGAGCTGCTGAAGGAGGCAGCCCAAGAAGAGCGGTTTGGAGGACAGGCAGAGAATTCGAGACAGCTGGGGGTCAACCAATATCAGCATACCAATCCAGCACACATCTAATCTTTCTTTTCTGTGTATGCCACCTACAAGTGGGCGGTAGCCATATTTGTGTATGTGCTATAGAATTTATGCATGTACATGCACCAAATCGCCATGCATGTGTTTGTGAGGGCAGGTCCTGTCATACTGGCCTTGGGGGTGGGGGAAGGATGGACAGGCAGCAGCAAAAAAGCTTGCTGAGAGAAGAGATGGAGGGTGCCTGACCCTTAGAAAGGATCCCTCCTACTCTCACCCGTCCCTTTCATCCATCTATTCCTCCTCCCCGCCGGTGAATCATGGGGGATAGACTGAGGAAATCTGGGCCTGGGTCTGGTAGTCGCTGGGGCCTGCTGCCGTTTCTGTGGTAACCAAAGCATACGTTCGTTTCCTCTCTCCTCCCGCCTCTTTTCCTTTGGTGACAGGGCCGGTTTTTCCTGCGTCTTTGCTACCCTCTGGTGGCCACCAGGTGGAAGGACAAAATAGAAAGAGGGAATGAAATGATAGTGTGGGGTCTTGGGGCAGGAGGACTTTGGGGACAAAGCGTGGGGCTGAGAAGAGTGGAGGTCCGAGGTAAACTCAGGAGGCTTCGGGGACTCTGGAGAAAGCGAAGTGGAAAGTGGGTTAGTTTGGGGTATTTTCTTTGTGACCTGTTTCCTTTTCACCCGCAGCCTGCGGCGAGAGGGCTACACCGTGCAAGTGAACGTAAACGATTATCTGGATATTTATTGCCCACACTACAACAGTTCTGGAGTGGGCCCTGGGGCAGGACCAGGCCCCGGAGGCGGGGCGGAGCAGTACGTGCTGTATATGGTGAGCTGGGCGGGTTACCGCACCTGCAACGCCAGCCAAGGCTTCAAGCGCTGGGAGTGCAATCGACCGCACGCCCCCCACAGCCCGATCAAGTTCTCGGAGAAATTCCAGCGCTACAGCGCCTTCTCGTTGGGCTACGAGTTCCACGCCGGCCACGAGTACTACTACATCTGTGAGTGACTGCCCGGGCGGTGGGGCGGAGCTAAGGGTTAGTGTCAGGCCTGGGGGCGGAGCCAGAGATGCTGCAGGCATCCGGTTGTGTCTTAGAGCGATACTGATACCTCAGAATGAGGCGTGGGGTCTGGGGTCCTCAAAGTTTCAGCCCACACAGGGCTGTGAGACTGAGCGAAGGGTTTTAGGGGGACAGTCCAAGTTTGGGCAGTAGAGCGAATATTTCTATGGGGGACGCGTCTAGACCGTTTCAAAGGGCCTGCTAGGATAGAGGGCGAAGCCATAGTGATCAATGCCCAAAGGACTGGAGGAGTTACAACTTCTCAAGAGGGGCAGTTAGGAGGGAGTGAGGATTTCTGAGTGAGGGCACCAGGCGCGAATTGATGGAACGAAACTCAGGCCCAGTCTCTTCCCCAGCCACGCCAACCCACAACCTGCACTGGAAGTGCTTGAGGATGAAGGTGTTCGTCTGCTGCGCCTCCAGTGAGTATAGCGGCTCCCAGACACGTCATCATCGTCTGCTCCCTGCTTTGGGGCTCCCCTGGCTTCCTGGGGGTGGGGGTGGAGGGCAAAGGCGAGGGGGGCTCGCTCCCCAGCTGTAGCGGAGGGAGGGATCCTGGCCCTGACTCTCCCCTCCTCTCTCCCCACCCGCACCCCACCCCGCAGCATCGTATTCCGGGGAGAAGCCGGTCCCCACTCTCCCCCAGTTCACCATGGGCCCCAATGTGAAGATCAACGTGCTGGGTGAGTCTGCGCAGCGCCCTCTGGTGGCCACTGCTAGAACGCAGCCCCCTTCCCGGTGCCTGTTCACCTTGCATGCCTTAACTTACCCTGGGGACAAGGATCCTCCCTACCTCCACGGGTGGTCACGTCCCTAGCTCCACTGCTGCTGCCGCTGCCGTGTGCCCTTACCCAGCGCACAACCCAGTCCTCACCAGCCTGTCTATTCATCTATCCACAGAGGACTTTGAGGGTGAGAACCCCCAGGTGCCCAAGCTGGAGAAGAGCATCAGCGGGACCAGTCCCAAGCGGGAACACCTGCCCCTGGCCATTGGCATCGCCTTCTTCCTCATGACTCTCTTGGCCTCCTAGCTCTGCCCCCTCCCTGGGTAGGGAGAGATGGGGCGGGGCTGGGATGGAACACGGAGCTTTTGGCCCCTTTAAATGACGCTGTGGGGCCTACGCCCCATCCCGATGGCTGGAAGTGGGGTCTGCACCATACATGTGTGCCTGCTCCTTCTTTCCTCTCCCTCTAGGCAGGCACAGTGGTGGACCAGATGCAGGGACAGCCACAGGTTCCAGGTGGCCTTGTGGCTCTGGTAATGTTTGGTACCAAATAGAGGGGTCATAAAGGGCAGTGCTCAGGACTCCCTGCCCCCTGGTACTTTTCCCTGCTCCCTGGTATCCTCCCCCTTCTGTCCTATCAGAAAGACAACTATGCCCCAGAGAGAGTATATGGAAGCGTGGGAGGCACCCTCACTCTCTCCTCCAGGGACGCAACATGGGGAGGGGACTAGATGGGTGAGGGGGTAGCACCGCCTGCTGCCCCCTCCCCCCGTTTACAGCAATAAGCACGTCCTCCTCCCCCCACCCCACTTCCATCCCCAGGATTGTGGTTTGGATTGAATCCAAGTTTACAAGTAGACACCCTGGGGGGCAGGCAGTGAACAAGGGTGGCAAGGGGTGGGCTTTGGGGTGCCAGGCAGGCATGTACAGACTCTATATCTCTATATATAATGTACAGACAGACTGAATCCCTCCCCTCCTTAACCTCCTGACCTCCCTTGACTTCCCCTTTAAGCTTCAGACCCCTTTCCCACCAGGCTAGGCCCCCCCGGGGGATCCCCTGGCCCCTCTTTTGTCTTCTGTGAAGACAGGACCTATGCAACGCACAGACACTTTTGGAGACAGTGAGACAGCAACGACCCCTCCCCTCCAGCCCTGAGCCAAACCCGACTCCCAGGACCCTGTCCTGCCAACCCATCCTCCTGGGCCTTTTTCAAGTGCTTTGGCTGTGACTTTCATACTCTGCTCTTAGTCTAAAAAAAAAATAAACTGGAGATAAAAATAACTGAGTGTGTGTGATTTCAAGGGGCCATCACTCTCCTATTATACAGGTTAAACCCCACAGGTCACAGAGCCTGGGTACGGGGTAGGGGACCCTGGCGCCTTACTCTGTAGCATCTCTCCTTTAAGGGGGATAGCTCTGTGCTGAGGGAGAAGTAGAGGCTTCAGAGTTGGGCCTAAGTGACTATGGGCAAATCATTTAATCTCTCCAAACTTCAGATAGCCCATCAGTAAAACTGGTAATAATACATTTCTCAAGATGCAATTAAATTAAGGATTAAATGACATATGGAATATAAGGCTCAATCAGCATTAGTTTCCTTTTCGTCCCTTTCCATCCTGTAATCAGAGGTTCTTGATGGGAGGCAATGGAATTCAAGAAGTTTGTGGGCCTAGATGGAGGTGGGATGTGTGTGTGTATGTGTGTACAGATGAGGGGACTGCATATTAAAAGAATTAAAAGATAATGGAACTTTTCCATGAAGGATCTGAAGGCCCCTCATGTTTATTTACACTTGCCTCTGGCTGAAATTTAGCATTCTCTTAGGTATTTCGGCAACAAGCCACAAAAGCAGTAGCATTGCCTGGGACTTTGTAACCAATAGCAATCACTGATGTCTTCCTACTGCATTACCGTTGTGGAAGAGGTCTCAAAGTCCTTTATGCTCATCGTAACTTTGAAATTACAATCATTGTTAGATCTCTTTTGTCTTTAATGTGTTAATAAAGAAGCACGTATATATTCCTATACCCCCCCAGATTGAAATGATTTGATAGCTGTTGTCGGCATTGGTGTCGTGGCATCTGACCTCCCTTAACTTCACAAGGGGGAGGGAGAATCAAGATAAGCAGCCCTTGATTCTTATCCTCTATCTAACTTTTTTTTTTTTTTTTTTTACCAATTCAGACCCTATCTGGCCCACAGCGGGCTCTACCGTTTGGTAATTTGTTACATTGGCCTCAGAACTCACAGACCGTACTTACAGTTTGGTGCTTGTTAGGGAAGTAACAGGTTACAGTTTAGGATCAGAAATACTTAAGATACAGTTCTTTTATCAGGAAACATCATCTCAGCCATGCCTATAAGCAGGCCTCTCTTTAGCCCCTTGCTGTCTCAGCCCAGCCTCTGCCTTATTCAGGTAAGTGTTACAAAGTTCTTTTAGTTCTGCCAATACATGCCCAGAGACACCCCACAGGTAAACCTCTGCCCAAAGGTGCTCAGCTCTTTTGCTCCGAGGGTCAGCCAGTCTGGCTCTGCTTCCACCCTACTCTGACAGGAAGACTCCTGCCCAAAGGCTCTCAGTTCTCTTCCTCTGTGGGTCAGGAAGCCTGAGTTGTCTCCTTTGGCCTCCTGGTTCTGTTGCTTCTGCTGCAGTCATTTCTCTGCAGCTACTTCTCACCATCTCTCACCATCTTGGGCATTCCGCTCTCTCTCTATCTCCTAGGTCTAGGAGGTTCTCAGCACAGGGATGCCAAATCCAGAAGAGTGTTCTGCTCCCATCTCTCCTTTCTTGGTGGTAGTCAGGCCTCCCTTTTCACGTCTGGGCTGGCTCATTTTAAGCCTACTGGGAACTGACAAATCCTGTCAGAGTCATATGCACCTTGTTTGCATTATTAATTAGCAAGCAGCCATATTCCTTGGGGTGGGTTACAAGCACCTTATTTGCATAGTTCCACCCAATCTTTCAATGGAACCTTGGCAAGAAAGGCCATATAAAAGAGGAGGTCTATCTCACTGGACTATATTTTAATATAATTGGTTTCCTTTTGAATTTTTTCTGCTTTTATTCTATTCATTATTCTTTTTTTAAAAAATAAAACTTTTTATTGTGAATTGAATTAAGGTTTACAGACAAGATGATCATCTTTACATTCAATAATCATATACTCTGTTTCATCTCAATGATTACAATCTCCTCCCTGTAACAACAGTTATCCTGATTCCTTCTATGGTTGTTATTTGCATCCCGTCCACCTTTCAATCCCTTCTCAACTTTGTCCTTAGGTAAATGTTGCCCTTTTGATTTTGAATGATTGATTATTCCATGGTGAGCATACCTTACTAATATTGTTGTCCTTCACTAAAAACCTAGCTACTGCTTGGCTAAAAATTGGGCACGAGGGTGAGTTCCTTTCTAGACATGAAGGATGGTTGAGGGTCATAGTTTCAGACTTTTCCAGTCTCTCTTTTTTTTTAATTATTTAATGTTTTATTGAGAATTATATGATAGTTT